ATTATATACAGTCAACCACCGCTGGCACATGTTTCTTCTTAGATGGACCCGGAGGTACAGAAAAATTTTGAAACGTTTCAAAGATATCTACGAAAAGTTTCTAAGGTCTTCTATCGTTATATCTTAAGCGAATATAGGTAGAAACTTAAGAAAAAAAAACTGTGCAACTCCTTTTGCTACTAGTTGTATGTGTTGCTCGGAGCACAGCCCTGTGTCCCTTGACTAATTGCAGCATATTAATATAAGATGTGGCCACATGTCGTGTTGATGTTCAATGATAAGTAGGTAAAATACTGGAAAAAATATTTGTGTTTTTCTCAAAATCGGTTTTTGTGCGAACGATTAAACTCCGTACAAATGTTATTGACATATATTTCATTATACAAAGCTGCATTTTTTATATTGTTTTAGAGCATTTGATACTTCTTCCGATGAGGAAAAGAAATTTTAAAAATATGCACTAGCTCTATAGAAAACCTTGACTGTCTGCAAGATATCATTGTGATGTTTCACGGTTTAACAGATTTAAGCAAGCCCAAAAGTGAAATAAACAAAACTTAAAAAGTCGCTTTCTCTCATTCGAAAAGGTAAATAGTTTTCTTTCAAATAAAGCAATCCATGGTTCTGTACCTCGAAGTATGATGAAAAACGTTTCTACAGGCAAAAGGCTCAAAATGGGCATTCGTCTCTAAAAAAAGCTCCGAAAAGTTGAAGTTTACAGAGATTAAACTAATTTCGTAAGCTTACTTTTATCGGTTCAACATTTGTAGGGATTTTTCAGAGAGATTTCGTGTACTATATCGAAAGTAGATTTTTGAGGGAGAGGAGTGAGATCTTAATGAATCAAGCTGCCCATGTTATGCCAGTTGCGAGGAGAGAAATTTCTGCGAATGTACTAACCGAACAAAGAATTATACAATCTCCTTTCAAGCTTCTTGTTCCTATCGTGGAGACGCCTGCATTAAGTATTCGATCAATCATCAAGTAAGCTGAAGCAACTAGAAAGATGAATTTTGCCATTCAGAACGAAGCATCAATAGCTCCATCAAGCGCTCCTAAGGCACTTAATATATTAGTGAGAGATCGAATGAACACCGATGTACCTTTCAGAGAAAAAGTTATGGTACTTTGTGGATATTTTTGCCAAGCTCTTCCACTCGTTTCCTTAGCAAGCATATCAGAATTCAAACCAGCAAATCTCAAATACAGATCTATATTTTTAAGAAGAAAATTAATTTTTTATTTCTGAATATATATAGTATATGTTAAATAATAACAAAAACAAAAATACACACACACATATATCACCCTATAAAACAAGAAATAATTATTATTTCTGATTATCCTGCTCTTGCAATGTAGAATACGCCGGATTCAATACCGCACATGTTCACACCACGTCGTATCTTAAAATAGCCACCTTCTCCCCAACGAGTTCCATAACTATTTCTCACTTTCCAATAGGGTACACCCGTTATCGCATCAACTCCGTAGCCAACAAGGACAACTGCATGATTTGTTGAGTGAAGCGATGTTGGACATCCACTTGGTTGAAAAACACCACTTTTGTAATTGTTAAACATAGAAGAAATCATACTGTATGTTGATGGTGTGTCATCACCAATGAAAACCGACGCGTACAAAGGTCCGTAGTCGACCAGGGCTTGTTGCATGGTGGCAGTATCAGTTACTTTAATGTGAACGTAACGAAATGGTTGAAATTTTACTCCACCGCCTCGTACACTTTTAAAGGCACATTGGCCAACTGTGCCCTTGTAGGGATAGTATGGGGAACCGTTTACTTGCCAATTATGATCGTTTAAATACCTGAATGAGTAAGTAAACCAACCTCCATCACAGCCACTATTCTCGGATGAACAGTCAACAATCTGTTGCTCGCTCAAACTGACACTTCTCTTCAATTGAACAGCGTATTGAAATTCAAGCAAAGTGATAAAAGCAAATGAGTAACATGATGAACACATACCTTGCTGTCTGGCTGACAACAACTTGAATAAAAGAAAAAACAGGATGATTTCGAATCCCAAATGAAAAATAATACTTACAAGTGGCACTGTCGTTCCCGGAACAACCATTTTCGTTAAGTCGTACGAGGCCGGTGCCATCGTTTTGCCTTTTGCTGACCTTCCGTGCCATGTTAATAAACGTTCACCCGGTTTCACATTTGTATTACTGATGTTGCCTTTAGGCAATCGAACGGGACGACGTAATATTCTTAACTCATCTTCTGTCCAATCAGCATGATTATTGAGTCCAAGAGTGTATGCTTTATCACCTTTTTTATAATCATCGAGAATGTCATGCAACGTTTTATTGAATGATATAAAACGAAGTTTGTCTTCGCTTTTTGTACTTGAATTTCGATTGAATTCCATCTTATACAACTTGTATAAATTCTTAATAGCATCATTTTTGTTTTCTACTAAACTTCTTCCCGTACTCGAAGCCAGAAACGATTCGAGTGCAACATCCAA